ATTCAAGCAAGCTGCTGCTGGCCACGCCCACTCAACATGTACATTTGCACTTCATAGCATATTTTTTTCTTTTTTAAGGTTTTACTGGCTCTAGTGGCCTTTATTTGATAGTTAATTGACAGGAAAGTTGGTAATGAGAGATGGGGAAAGACATGCGGCAAAAGTTGCCAGGCTGTGAATTGAACCTGAGACAGCTGCATCAAGGACTAAGGCCTCCATACATGAGTTGTGCTTAACCCCTGCGCCACCACAGCACAACCTTCATAGCATCTTTGACCCTGAGTCGGATCCAGGAGCAGAAGAAGTGAAGCCTCCAGCACAACAATCAGAAACAGCAAGTTGTTTATGAATTGCAAGCCAACAACAAAACACTTGTCTTTTCCAGCAGCCATTGCAACCGGCACACAGAAAGCTGGGTTCACCTGCGGTTTCTGCTAATTGTGATTGAGAAACGACTCGTTTTCCAGACACCTACAAACATCAACTTCAGCTAAATATTTTACTGTTAAAATTTATGAAAAGGGAAAATGTGGCATATATTTATATTCACCCCTCTTTAATCTGATACCCTTAAATAAAACCCAGTGTAACAAATTGCCTTTAAAAGTCAGGTGGGAACATATGTTGATAGCACAACTTTTATTTGTGAACTCCATAAATGTGGCCTTAAAAAGTCTTGTTTTCCAAAAGCCACATAGGTAATCACTCAAAGATTGATCTGGTCAGACTAAAGTCAACTGTGTAAACACCATGCCTGCAGGTAAACATGGTGATGGCAGCATCATACTGAGATGAAGCTTTTCCTAAGCAGGCAAATATGATGAGAAAAATGAAGGCGCTGAACTCATGGCAGTTCTTGGAGTAATCCCGTTTAAAGGCTGTAAGAAACTTGAATCTCAGTCAGAGGTTCACTTTTTATGAAGAGAGCCACCCTAGAAATACACCACAAGTCACAATGGAAAGCATTTTCATGAGGTGGTGTGGCCCAGTCAAATCCTTAAACTAAATTCAGCTGAGAGTCCCTGGTAAAATTTGAAAATCTTGCCACAGTCTCAATATCCAGTGAGAGGAATGTTGTGAAAGAAAAATTAGGGGGATGTATTTCATAAGCATTTCATGCAAATTTCCAATAAAATACAGCAATGTTCACTATTATAAGGAGACAAAATGCGGAAAAGTTCAAGGTCTGCGAATGCTTTCGCAAGGCACTGAGACCTAGCGTTATTTTGGAGTTTGTGAGAGCATCTTCATGCTTGCATCACACCCCTTGGCATTATCTATGCTTCCCAACAGAACATGCAGTGTTCTAAAATGACAGGCAACTGACTGCCTGAGCCTCCTCTACTCCTAAAACTAATTTAGAGCTCAGAAGGCAGAAGCTCCGCAGAGACGGGGAAAGGATGTCAGCGGCAGCTGGTTTAAATTCTCTTCTTGACTTTTGTCTTTTTTCCTCTCGCTGTCCCCGCTCCTCCTGGCTGCAAGCTGACTGATGTTTCCACCACACCTAATCTGCACTCATTGCTGAAAAACCACCCCTAATGTTTGCGTGGACGCGCGTGCATGCGCGTGCGCGCGCGTCACCGGCAGCCCTTAATGTGAGCCAGCAGAGCCTTTTAATATCAGCAGAAGCCGAGGTGGAAGCGGCACACAGACAAGGTTGCATACTGAGGAGGGAGGGGGATTGCCTTTTCAACGACACGGGCGATTCATCAACTCTCCCAATCTGAGGCCGGCATTCCAGCCCTGCACACAAGAACGTGTGGACACGTGGGTCCTGCTGGTGGAGCATTATCGCCTCGTATTGCATGGAGAAAAGAAAAGGGAGCGCTTCCTTGATGAATGTTGCGACGACCCAGTGAAGAGGTGATACTCAAGCCAACATGGAGTTGCATCTGTACCCAGAGGAGGAGGAGGATGTAGATGGAGGCAAGGGGGGGGGCAAGCAATGACCTGATAATAAGAGAGGGGGATTAGGGAGAGCTCTCAGCCCCAGAGGTGGGTAAGGCAGAGGGCAGAGAGTGGAACAGAAGAGGGATAAAGGGATAAAACGACAGAGGAAGAGCAGGGATTGAAAAAAAAAACAACAACATTCTTTTATTCTTATCAGTGGATAGCTTAATTGCCTTTGATGATTCTAATTGAAGCTTTTGGAAGTCTAATGACAGAGGAGTCCTCAGAGACGGCAGGAAACACATTACTGTAATAGCTTCTCAGCGATTCTCCTCTGCACCCAAAGTTCCCTCAGTTGTCCCGTCTATCCAGAGCGACAGTCCAATTTTTGTCCAGCTGGTGGCTCTAGCTGCGTGCTGGAGTATCGATAATCATGCAGCGGAAGGTGTGCGGCAAAGAGAAAACACAAAGAAAGGGGTTATGAGGGTAGCATGTTTGCAAAGCAGCAGTAGCAGCAGTATTGGGTATGTGTTGACTTAATTAGGTCTGTGAGCTGCTCGCTTTCCTCTCCTCAGCAGAAGTTGATTAGCAATGCCAGCTGTCCCCAATGTAATTCGGAGCGTGCACACGCGTGCGCGCACGTGGGATATACGAGTGCATGCGAGTCTGACGCTGCTGGGCTGCGTTGATGTGTGTTGATGTGTGTTTATGTGTGCGCCGTGGCTGCCAGCTGCCACACGGCGCTGCCAATCCTCTATGATTAGTACCCACTGGCAACTGGGCTCAAACTGGTGCCAAACAGACCCAGGAGGGTAACGTAGCCCACGGTAATCCTCCTCTCTCTCTGTCGTCCGCTTCTCCTCTCCTCCTTCTCTCGCATCAATTTTTTTATTTATTTTTTTTGTTTCTCTCACCCCGTCGACCATTTCTGGCTCTCGCTCGCGACGCTAAACGAGAACAGGCTCCTTCTCCCCCTCGCGGGAAGTGGAACAATACAGAAGCTTGGGAGAGAGAAAGGTACAAATACCCGCTGAGGATGCGCAGCAGTGGCTAAAAAGGAAGTGTGAGAAAAAAAAAAAAAAAGTCAGGCTGGGATCTGTGCCTCGCCACGGTTGACTGTGCCCTTGTGAAGATGTTGTTGCTTGGCAAGCAGCTCTGTGGCGTCCGTGCTAGGCTCCAGGCGGATAACCTTGCAGCCTCTCACCTGTTGAGAGTCCTCTGTGCACCTCTGTGGCGGCCAAGAGGGTGGCGAGAGCGAGCAAAATGAGGGAGAAAGATGAATTCGCTCAATGTTTTTCGAAAAACTGAACGTGACGTTGCGATTGGACTGAAGATGGCGAGAAGAATGCAGGATTTGTCCGTTTTGGAGATGGACCAAGGAACTGGCTGTTCATCAAAAACTGGTGACCAGCTGGTCAATGCCCAAAAATCTGATGTCTATGATTCAGTGAATAGAGCGTATGTGCCAGGTTGCACTTCTGAGAAGCACACTCTTTAATATGAATGCTGACACAGAGGTTTGACAGTGTTTTCACTGTCATTGAGCTGTTTAAAAAGAAGCAGTCAAAGAACAGAGATGAAAAAGGAAACCTAATCTTCTACGGGATATATAGACACAAGTCTATAGATTTGTAAATGTTATTACACTCTTTTGGAAGTTGAGGCAATAATCTACATTTTCTAGGAAATAAACACTTAAGATCCGTATTTAGTAATGGTCCGATGCTAACTGCAGTAACCCCTAATATGAGCCGATAAAGACAGTTTAAAATGTCAACGCCATAAATCATTTGCCTTTGTTTTAAAACAATAGTAAACCCCCCCCCTTTTTTTTTTTTTTTTTTACAATGGCGGCTCTTTCACACACTTTGTCGCCTCCACACTAGATTTATGGGAGGAGGGCTAGAGAAAAAATCCCCTCTTTTAAACGCCTATATTGTAATTCTTAAAGACAAGTATCTGCAAAAAGAAAAAATAAACTGTACAGAAGGGTCAAAGCTTTAAAAGAAACAAGAGATCGGAAATTGGTCACAAAATTGTGATTGGATAATCTCTAGCATTTATGAGTCCCACATGACTGGTGCACCAAAAGGCCGAAGGCGCACACAGACACTCCTGTATGCACTTCCTGTATACCCACACAGCTCTGTGTGTTTGGCAGCCTGTGAGGTGTTGGACAGCTCTGGCATGGCAAAGGCTGCACACCCATCTGCCCCTCCCGCCCTCCCTTCTTAGTAATGCAGTTACTTTTCAGCACGCGTGTGCCTCGAGTACATATGTGCAAAGACAGCAGAGCGTCCGATTGCAGCCTTTACCATAAATCCACGTAGCTGTGACTGATGGTTGTGGATAGATAGTGTTTTTTTCCTCTGTAATTAGGACACAAGATGTAGAGAAATGCATGGCGACTCGCACGCTCTCGCTCAGTTATGATTTTGTCAGATGTTGGCAATTCCAGTTGGGGCTTAGTGCCTAAGTCTATCAGTGGTTGAGATTACAGACAGATTTATGTGATTCGCGGGCTCCCCAGAGGACCTGCGGCCTCGCACTGGTTAATCACTGCTTCACATTCGCTCCTTCCCGCCGCTCTCTCACCGCACTGCTACATTTTTCAACGCAACACCAGAGCTTTTTGCACCCCTGCCGATAAAAAAAAAAAAGAAAAACGGCGTGAAACTGCTTCCGTTTTTTCTGAATCCCGTCTTCGACGGGGGTTAATTCTTGATAATCCCACTAATCAAAAGGTTAAACCTCCCCCCTGACCTTCGCTTGCTTCATAAAAGAGGGAAAACTCCTTTTCTCGTCAGATCAGCAGGCTTTTTTCTTTTCACTGAATTATCGAGTCACCTTATTGAACTTTGAATTGTCTAGCGTGCATGTTTTTCTTCTCAGCACGGCGAAAGCACATAAAATGCACAACCTCGACAGTTTCAGCAGATACGGCCAAAAGGAGTGTGTCTAAAATAAGCCCGCGTGGGAACACGGTTTATCTGATTGCGCCTCGTCGTTCCGCCACGAGTTAAATCCCAGATGCAGGCAGGATGCGGCGTTGGTCGACCGCGTTATTGCGCTGCGGCCTGGTGTCATTGTTGTTAGTGCATCAGTGGTACCTGTGTAGATGAAGCGTCCAGGTGTGCCTTTGCAGAACTGTTTCGATTTGTAGGACAGCGTGACTTCCACCACCCCTGGGATGTGCCTGGGCGGGGTCTGCACACGGATGGCGTGGGGAGTGATCAACTACAGAGAGGGCAGAAGGGAGGCGGGTTAATGAAATGAAACTTCATATCTTACCAGCCGCTCCTGGGAGTACTCTTGGATTGTCTGAGCCCCTTTTGTTTTGCAGCTTTGACTGTTTTTTTTTTTTTTTTTTTTTTTCCGGTATAATAAGCCTGAAAATGATGCGTTAGCGCCAAAGCCATCAGGTGGCCTCGTAGCCCAAGGCAATGTCACTGTGAGGCTTAGGATGGTTATCAGCGCTGACATGGGCTATGTAATAAGGATTCAAAAGCTGTTATCTGTTTATGAATAAAACACACTTTTTCCTCTGCTCGCACCTACTGAACAGCTTAAGTAAGTGCATAATATGCTTGTCCCCACTGGCCCCGTCTCTGTGTCTGTCAGCTGAAGCCATCCAGCCGCCGTTAGCCACATGAAAGCACAAAAAGGCTCACTTAGTGCGGCTCGCGTCGCATGCACGTGTGCATTCTGAAGGGTCTTTGAAGGAAACGGTATCATGACAAAGCGCAGATGAGACCTCATTGAGGGCTGGTTCTCTGCAGTGAGCTAGCACTCAAACGCTAGGAGCGCTCAAAAGCTATCAGTGCCGCTGCCAGCACTTTAAGCATGTGGATGCATGTGTGCGTCGCTCTTAACTGTCCCTTTCATTCCTCACTTAGCCAGGCTTTCATTCCACCATTGTCTGCAACCCGCCTCCCCCACGTCCCTCCCAAACTCACCCCCTCAGCGAGACAATATAGGAGCTTTTTATAGAATTATTCCTTTACTAAAGAGAAAGCTGTTTAGCTGCTCTGCCTTGCTGACCTTCAGTTTTTACACATACACTGCATTTACATTTTAGTCATGTGGCAGATGCTCCTTACAAAGGGATTCGTCCTGCACGGCGTGCACACGCGTTTCAAGAAAGTGTTCTTTCAAACGCAGCCTAATAGATGGCAGGTAAGGAAGGAAGGAAGTGAACAGAGAGCGGCGCAGACTGCAGCCTGCTGCTCAGATTTTAAAATGGATGTGAAAAGTACTTACAGTTTGAAGCTACTTATTGCTTTTAATTGCTTATTAATCGTTTTGTTAGTGTTTCTTGATTGGTTCTTTCAATATTCAAGTTGTCGGTGTTTGTTTTTCTCCCACATAGTCAAAGTCAACGACAAGCAAAGAGTTATTTTTATTTGTTCTCAGCAGTAGTGCGTTAGCAGAATGACTGCATGTAAAATTATCACTAATCGCAAATAAAGAACTTTGACACAGCTAAAATTACTGGCTTGCAAATTCAAATTTTCTGTGAAATACACCAAAAAAGGGTCATCTTACCAATGCATAATGTCCATCATCTTATTCTGCAATATTTTAAATTACTTGATTTCTATCTACTGCTTCAAGTCAGATTTTTATGATCTCTTGGGATTAAGGTAAAACAGATTTGGATATTTTTGGAGCTGATTCCACGCTTATTGTTTTCCTCTTAAATGTGTTGATGTCTATTTAAAGAGAGGAAAAATAAATTGTGTGGTTCAGCAATAAAAATACTTCAGTAACAAACTAATAAATCCAACAAATCCATTTCTAGAAGGAAGTCTTTAGTTAACATATAAGTGTTTATCAACTTAAACAGTGACGGATAAATCTCATATTTGCTCTAAGATTAATCTTAGCACCTTTCCCATAAAATAACTGTAAAAAATATTTCCTTATGTGGGATGCTACGTAAATCTGCCAAGTAAATATTCTCAGATTAAAAAAAAAAATGCTTCAGTGTGATATTATTCAAGTGCAATATATTTTTGTAATGACAGGTGAAGTGTGAAACAGGTAACTCACCTCACTCCAGACAAGCATTGTTCCAAAAATGACTTGGAGGCCATCGAAGAAGTTGTCTCCGATGATGATGACCGTTGCGCCCCCTGTTGTCCAGCCTTCACTGGGACTGATGGCTTTGATGCTGGGGGTTGCTGGAAAACAACAACAAAAAAAATTCCCACATAACAGATTAGATTCTAACAGACCGAAAATAAAAGATCAGAAAGGTTTCTGCCACCGGTGCCATGCGTTGTCTCTCTTTCTCTCTTTTTCTCTCTCTCTCTCTTTCTCTCTCTCCATCGTCTTTCACACACTCTCAGACACACACAGATCACCCCTCGGCCCTCTCCCAGGGGTCGGGGCGTGGACGTGGAATTCTAATCAGAGTGATTATACGCACCCCGTTATTAAACATCACCTCTGCCCTGCGTGTGAGGGCAGCGGTGGTGCGCTTGTTTTTATGACACGTGGCAAAGCGTGCGGCTGTGTAAATGTCAGGTGTGCTCAGTGTCTGATCAAAGGGCACGCGACCGGGGAGCAGAGCAGAGCCAACAGTAGCTGTGCCCCCTGAATACCTCTGCCTTCATTAACCAAACACTTAGCTCTCGCTCAGCTGTGTGTGCAACATAACTGTGTGTCAGTTTCCATCTCCTGGCCTGTGGAGCCTCTCTGAACACACGCTCCTGTTGGCATAAATGTTGCCGATTCGTACGGTGTGCGAGTTTCCCCTTGCAAGAACGTGCACAAAAGTATTCAGACTGCTTGAACTGTGTCCCATTTAGTTGTAATGAAAGTAGAAACAAATGTATTTTATGGTTATTTTAGGCCGGTGAAAGTTATGCGTAATTGTAGACTGGAAGGGAAATGATATATGGTTTCACCTTTTCAGTAGAAAAAAAAAAGTTTCTTCTGACTATGTACTTGTGAAGACCTTTGAGGTTTAAAGGAACAAAGCAACCTTACTGGCCGTTCAGCTAAGCTAATAGGCTTAGCAAGGAGAGCGACACTCAGTGAAGCAGCTAAGAAGCCCACGGTAACCCTGAAGGAGATTCAGACACCGACAGCACCGGAGGAAGAACTTGTTGACAGGATAACACATCCTTTATGGAAGAATAGCATGAAGGAGGCTATTGTTGAAAGAAATCCATGCAGGGGACAAAACAAACACATTATAGAAGGTACTCTGGTTAAAGTAGACCAGATGTCTTCATGTTGCGATGGCATCATGCTGCGTGGATGCTTTTCTTCAGCAGGGACATGAAAGCTGGAGTTGGTGGAAAAAAGGCCGGAGCAAAACCACAAGGCAATGCTTTAATAAAACCTTTTAGAGAACGCAGAAGTCTTGACTCTCTGGGAAAAGATTCACCTTCCAGCAGGAAAACAACTCAAAACAGGAGCCAAAGTTATGAGTTGGAGTGGCCAAGTCAAAGTACAGATCTCTATTAAATTGTGTCAAGACTTTTAAAAAAAATGACGAGCACAGACTCATTCAGATCCACAGAGCTTGGCATTTTGCAAAGAATACTGGGCTTTTATTTCAGTCTGTGGATCTGCAGAAACTTGCAGACGTAGCAGCTGCGAAACGAACTGACGGTAACCATAAGCACGCCACTCTTTTTTACTTCTGAAAACATTTCTCTTCCACCTCACAACTACGCACTAGTTGGCGTTGCTCCATCAAGTATCCCCCCTCACCAGAAAAAAAATAAAAAGAAGTTTGCGGTTGTGACATTACAAAATGTTACATCTGCAAAGTGCCGTTACCGTCACCATGGTTTCAGTAACTGCTCCTCTATTTGCTTTCGGACCTTATCTGTCCATGTTGTGGACTCGGAGATTACTGAATGTGATTGAAGAAAAGATCGGCACTGAGAGGAGGGGAGAAAAAAAAATACATGTTTATATAATCTAAATCTCCTCTCCTTAACAGATATGCAGCTTGTCAGACATGTTGTAATTCTGCAAAGCGGCATAATCCACTTTAGACTAGGCTGACTTTTTTTTCCCTCCCTCACAGCCCTGCCTTTGCTCTTTGCCTGACTCCCTGTTTTGTTGATCCTCCCCAACAAGCTGGAGTGATATTTAGCCCCCTGATACGCCCGCAGAGATCAGCGTTCGCCGAGCAGCAATCTGTGGCCGTAATCACGGCCCTGAGATGCCTCCCCTTTCACAGCCGCTGATATTATGTGCGCTCGGTGTGCATGTGTGTGTGTGCACTTTCTTTTTACGTGTGTGTGTGTGTGTGTGTGTGGATTAACCAGATGGTGGAACGTGAATCCATGTGATAGGATTATACTTTGGGGTGTTCCTCGGTGCCATCTGTTCGACTCTATGGGCTGCTCATCTATTACTGCTTGAAATGGGCCCCAAAGTCACGGATCCGCCACACATATGCGGCACTGGGATCGCACTGCTTTGTATCTTTTCATCTCTTCTTTTTGATACACTCCTGCCTCTTCCTTTCATGGAAACTGCGAGCCGCCTTTTTCTACACCTCTCTGTTCTGTACTTTCGCTCTTTTTTGTCTTTCTTCAGACTCCCTCTCAACGGGAGGATCGGGGAAAAAGAAAAAAAGTCAGAGGTGAGGAAATTCCCAAACAAATCTCTCTTAACGGAGGCGACATCTGTTACGGTGGCGCGTTCCGCTTTCGGTGCGAGATCCGACGCCTCCAACATGTCTCGTCTTTGCGAACTGTTCTAATCGACTGTGAGACCGGGCAACGGAGGGGGGCCAAGTGGTCCACTTTGTCTCCGGAGGACAGTCATCAGAAAGACTTAACCGTGGCATTCAATCGTAACTCAATCTACTCCAGGCGGTCATTTAAATCCCTTCTTAGTTTTGTCGTCATTATCATCCCTTAGGTTGACTTTCCTCAAAGAAGAGAAAAAAATATGTTTCTCTTATTTAATGTCTGGGAAATCGAAATGAGAAAATAACTGGATTAGGGACTTGGGAATCAGTGCAGCCTCCTAAATCATACGCACATGTCATTATGAAGTATTAAAGGTTTGGGTTTGACTGTGAGTGCGTGCGTGTGTGTGTGTGTGTGTGTGTGTGTGTGCTGTTTTTTTTTTTCTCTCTTTTTTTTGTTATGGGTGTGCTGGCTTGAAAACCTGAGGGATGGAGAGTGATGGAGGGCTAGAGGATAAAAGCAGGTCTCCAAGGAAATAAAGCCAGTGTTGGCTTTAAGCAGAACAGACCTCATAAGACACATAGTGCTTATGTGAGGCAGAGTAGAAGGCCCAGAGGCGCAGACCTGAGGGGAGCAGGCCACATGGGAGAGACAAGAGACTCTTGCGTGTTTCCACTCGCTCCGTAGCTCCAGTTAGAAGAGAGGAAAGTGAAATCCAGGAGGAAACAGGATGAAGATAAGAAAGAAAGCGCATGTTTAAGGCGTTGAGGAGACGAGAGGGGAGAAAGGGAAAGAGGGGGTTGAAAGTGGAGCTGGATTTTTTTTTTTTAAAGGGGAGGAAGAGGATGAGAGAGGAGGAAAAGGAAAGAAAGAAGGGAAAGGCAAAGGAAGGAGTTTTTCCTTTTATTTCAAATACCGTGTTCCAGGTAGGACGGAGTTCCTTCTGAGGGGTCCAAACGTCGAGCCCGCCGACCGTGTTTGGAGTTGTTGTGCACAAACATGTTGTCAGACACGGCCAGGACGTGGCCCTCGACGCTCACCGTAGTAGACACAACCACCTGAGAGAAGGGAGGCCAAGGAAAACAAGACAGCCGCTGAAAACTTTTGAAAGCAGCTCATTACAACTTCAACATTATCTATAGGATCAACTGCAGACTGCATGAAGATGTTTTTTTCCCCCTGAAATTTAGGTTTTTAAGCAAGTCAATAACCAAATAACCAGTTAATAACATGGAAAGGCTGAGACCACTTCGAGCTATCTGATGATGCTTTTACCCTTTCATGAGGGTTTCATGAGATGGGCAAACACAAACTCGTGGACTTGTAAAGCGGAAGGAAAATCAAACCCAGTTTTCAACATTTTTACAACAAAAGCTCTGAAAAGAGTGGCTAATGAACTTATAGTTACTTTGTGGTGCTAACTTTTGCTGCAATTAAGGCTGCATGTTTGTCACGTATGACAAGTTTTGACGTGGAGAGATTAGGGTTTGCCTGTTCTTATTTGCAAAATAGCTTAAAATCAGCCAAATTGGATTGAAAGACTTTGTGAGCATCAGTCTTCAAGTCTTACTTTAACTTTACACTTAGATTTAAACCTGGACTTATTGGCCTCTTTAACACATGAGGATGCTTTTGGATGCTGAACCCTATCAGGATTTACTCCAGTATCGTTCTGTATTTAGCTTCCTCCATCCGTCTGTCCATCCATAACAGGACTTCTTTTGGCATCCATTTTAACAAACACTTTCTTCTTGCCACTCTTCCATAAAGGTGATGTTTTTGGAGTTATGGGACTGCTTGCAAGCGGTTGTCCCGACTCGCACGTGTCATGGTCTTCATAACTATGTTCTTTCACAAATGCTCTCTAATGAATCCTCTGTGGCCATAAGAGTGCAGATGTATTTATAACAAAATTAAATAACAATAATGAAGGTCTTGTTTACTAATTCGTTGACTTTTAGCTGCAATTTGTGCTCTGGATTTCACATGGGGGGTATCCGGATAAAGGGGCTAAAATCATGCCAGATATTTAAAATTTAAAGTATTATTTGTCTTCCACTGTGTAATGATGTCCAAATCTGAACGATTCCACTAAAATGCACTAATGATTCTGATTGTGAAGGGCGGGAAAAAAAGAAGTGTAAACTTTCAAGGTGTATGAAAAATGAGTTCATCGTGGATTTTCAACTTTCCTCGGAAGGGACGCTTTGTACGCCTCGCTTGCAGCGTTCTGTTGGAGCATAGTGTTTTACGGTGTTCTACAACAGGACAATAATGCTTCTTGTGTCTGCCACACAGTCACTGTGAAGCCTGTTGCATCCTGAGTGAGTGCAGAAAGCGGTCGGTCACCTGAAAACGCCTCATGTCTCGAGGGTTCCCTGCGTTCTTCAGGCAGTTCTGGTTGCACTTCAGGAAGAACTTGAGGAAGAACCTGCACGCGCACGAGGAGAGAGACAGAGAGAGAGAGAGAGAGGGAAAGATCAGACGAGCCGTCGAAAGACTACCTGCGAGTCCTTAAAAGAGATGCCACTGATGAATGACAAAACACAGATAAAACTAGAGGCAGACGGGGCTCTCGCTCCATCTGACACTCCTCCGTCAGCTGCTGGTGACAAGCGCAGTTATTCCTCAGTAAAACCTTCGCAGAGGCAGTGACTTAGACGCAACCTTGTGTATCAAATCGCCGAGCGTCTGTCACGGCTCGCCGTAAACTCACCGGGGCAGATGTACCCCCCCGCCCTCCACACACACACACACACACCTCATCACCTCCACCGGTCCTCAGGCTTTGCACAGCCGTGTGACGGAGGTTGAGCTGTAGCTACTCTGCAGCACACAGTGTTGCCGCTCCTGCCTCTCTCAATCTCAGTGTGAGAGACCACATCAACAGCACCTGCCATGCATTATTAATAGGCTGAGATGGCAAGTATGGCTACCCACATCAATACTTAATGAGGGAGGGGAGGAGTACAGGGGAGAGTTGGGGTTGTAGATGGGGTGGAAGGGGAGGCGGGGTGTGAGGGAGGGCGGTCTGGTCTGGAAAGCAGAAAAAGAGGAGTGGGGGCAGAGGTGGGTGGGTGGGGGGCGTCTGACAATTTATTCCCTCGCCCCACCCCGAGGCTTGAGACCTGACAACTTCTTCTGTAAGTGAAACTGCAGTATTGTACATCTCCTCATTCAGCCTTCTGCGCTGCCTGTCTGGCTCCATGACGAAAAAAAAAAAAAAAAGAAAATCAAATGAACCGCAAAAATAAACAGCGCTGTGTACAAATAAACAGGAACCCTAAAACAGGGGGAAGAAGGGGAAATAGAGGTGGGGGGGGGTATAAAACTACATTTCCCACCCCTTCCTCCCCCTTCCTCTTCCTCCTCCTTCTCCCCCCTTTGAGGTAGCTCAAAGAAGTGCTGACAGCTGAAACTGCTTACAATACAGATCTCCAGCAGCCAGAGAGAGAATCACTCCTTTGCTCAGCTTTTCTTTCATATGTCTTATTTTCTCCCCTCTGTTCATTTGTTATGGCTACGATTCTGCACTGGGCAGCGCGTTTGGAGCCAAGCTACTCGGATATAATCGAGCGCACACACACACACGCACACACACACACACACACGCACACACACACACACGCGCACACACACACACACACGCGCACACGCACGCAGGCATGTCAGGAAAAACACAGCGCCCTGGACAATTGCTTCATCTAGTCTTAGGAAAAAAAGAAAGAAAAAAAAACTAACAAAAAAGAAGAAGATAAATGGACGTAGCAGAGTTATGTCTCATTTCGAGAGGCCGGCCTACTGCTGTGTGCATTACAAGCATCTGATGTAACACAAGAACTCGCGGTTATTCCCCGACAAGTTTTAAATGCATGACAGCTGGCTGGTGGTGGATGCTCCTCCTTGACTGGAGAAGAAAAAGCCTGCTATGATCTCAATAACAAACTCTTTAATGCTTTATGTCCCCCCCCCCCTTTTCTTTCCTTTGGCTTCTTTTTCCTTTTTTTTTTTATTTCTGTTGTGATTTATAATCGTACTTGCACAAGAGGCCATATCTGAATGAGACAGGGAAGGGTGGGTGTGTTAGGGGGAGAGGGAAAGAAATGGCGCAGAAAGTGAAAGGAGAAACCGATTGAAAGATAGACAGAAGGACGAAGCAGACAGTACGTGAAATCCGAAAGGAGAGACAGACCACCCTCCTGTATATTTTAGAAGCTGTGGGCCAATATCTCAATAATTCATGAAGTGGAGAGATGTTTTTTTTTTGAGTTTTTTGTTTTTCCGGCAGCAGCCTTTTAGACCCCGCGGACCGAGGGTCTCCCAACTTTCTTATCTCCTCAAGGTCAGAGAGCAGCCTAACAGACAGCTGTGGACCACATCCACTTGTCCGACATACTCCACCTTCCTCGCTGCACCTCCTGTTTAATTCATCGATTCCGCTTGTTTCCCTCAACGGCCCTCCTGCTCCTTTGCCCAGGCATCCATGATGGATGGAAAGATGGATAAGTGGAGGGAAGAGAGTTAGGGTCACTTGAGTCAGAGGTGATGGAATCAGAGGGTTAAATTTGGAAGAGGAGTTGGGATGAGACCCATGAGAGGATAAGTGTGAAGGAAACACACCAGGTCCGTCTGATAGTTTTGTCTTTTTAACATCCCCTTATGTGTGCATGCCCTAATGTTCTGGTATAAAATATTGAGGTCGTGGTTAATCATTTCAGGTCTTTTTTGCACATTTAATTTGACATTCAACGGCAAACAAATCAGAGAGAAAACATATTAAATCGCTACTTTAGCAAGGTCAGTTAAGTATTAAACAAATAATTAACTGATTTGTTTGATTTAATTTCAACATTAAGTCTTTGGCATCGCTACCTGAAAATACTTGTCCACGCTTTCCTGCCTTAAGAGAGAACATCACTTGTTCACAATCCTTTATCCACAGATTTTTTTGTCAGATTTAGTCCTGGACTTTGGATAGACCATCCATCTCCAAAAAAATAAAAAAAAATAAAAGAAAAAAAGAAAAAAAAGCGAACCCATTCTTTTGTTTATTTTGGATGAGCGGTTCAAATCAAATCACCGAAATCATGACTTTCACTTTTAACTTTACACTTCTGAGATCATCAGCGAGTGCTTCTGTGTGATGAAGTCGGGATAAAGGAGCAATGTGCGCTGATGCGTAACAGCAAAGAGATTACCATACGGATTTAAGGATAATCTGATTGACAGCTGACGAGTAAATATGTGCAGATAGCCGACAAAAGCCCGGGATTCTATCCGGTGCTCGGTTCAGTGCCCAGTAATTGTTGTATTTTTTGCTGCTTTTTGTTAATTAACTGAACAAGGCAAATGGGCAATCAGTTTCACAAAAGTCAATCAGAACCTCCCCTGTGGTGCGAGAGTAGGAATCACCTGTTTACACAAAATGACTCGATTTCAGAGCCAGATGAGGAAGTGGTGATAACAAAAAGGCCCAGGTTTTGTTGTCACCAAATCCCCTATGAGCTTATGAGCAGCTAAATCACTGAGACATGTGACAGAGTGCTGAACGCTGTGCAAAGCCAATGTTTTTTTTTTCATTCTCATTTTGTCATTGCACTCACTCAATATGCTTAATTTGCTCTCCCTTGTGAAGGCCTCCATCCCACTTTACTTTTTTTGGCTCTGTCTCACCTTACCAACTCAAAAAATGTTGTTTTTTTTTTGAAGAAAAAACATCTGTAGAGTTTCATCCACTTGTATTCAGACAACTTTGATCTTATAGCTATAAAAAAAAATCTGGATTTCGCAATTGGTAGGTCCTTGGTGATTCTAGAGGAAGAAGTTCTTTTTGAATGAGACCCACACTGAAATTTATGGGCCTAATACCACTGCACGTCATTCCTGAACACGGTCTCTGTGGGGAGGTTTTTCTTCAGCAAAGACAGAGAAGCTGGTCAGAGTTGATGGAATGATTGACGGAGATCAAAACATGGCAAAAGATCGAAGGTTCAACCTACAACGGGGCAAAAAACCCTCGGCGTAAAGACACGGAATTGATCAGATCAGAACAAATTCATGACTCTGAAAGGCTCAATCAAAGTCTGAAGCAAAATCCAATCGAGAATTTAGAAAATCGATGTTTACAAGCACTCATTATTGGGCAAAGACAGTGGAGACGTATTTGAAAAGAGCTGCAATGCAATGAAATGTAGATATTTTAATAACCATATATCGTTTTTGTTCTACTTCTCTATTATGTGCTACTTGTCTATCACATCAATTCCCAATAAAAATGCTCATTTTTATTGGGAAGTTGTAATATTTAAAAAAGGGGGAAAAGTTCAGTCTGTTTGAACACTTTCTCAAGCAGACAAAAATAGTTTCAAAAAACTTTCGCACAATTACAACCACATAAACACAGAATTTGGTTGATAAGTATCGAATAAAGAAAATCTTTTTTTTTTCCCCAACTCTTTTTTGTTCTTATTTTCTCCAGAATGTGTTTCCAAGTATTAAGGCTTAAAGTTTTTTTTATTTTCACTTTGTTCTTTACACCGGCGTATTTCCTCATCCTTGCTTCAATTATTCCCACTTCTTCTTTGCATTTGAAAGTCTCGCTGCTTTCGAGCTGTTAAACCCGTGCAGGCAGATATTACTGGTGCAAATTGCTGCACCGGCTGGATTAAATGAAATAAAACCATTTCGCTCTCTCGTAATTACCCCTCAAATCCAGAAATGGCTGCGGAAGTGAATTTGTGTAAATAACTGCGTGGCCTCTTCTAGCCTCGTGGCGTAAATTTGCAACAGCGAAAAAAAAAAAAAAATTATAAAAAAAAAAAGCAAACGCAGCCGGTCGCCGTGGTAATTTAATGATCTCACACTTTCATCATATCATAACCTGCATTATTTGTCACTTTGGAGCAATTAAACACAAAATCACCCCCCTGCCCATGCAAAACAAAACAAGGAAAGCAATTATAACACAACTTTTAAGTAATCCCCGTAGCATCTAAATAATATTACTGCAGTGATAAAGATCGTCTAAGCGATTAGCTAACAGCACGGAAGCCTCCGAGGGACAATTCTGTTATATTTTCTAATAATTTTCCTGCATTAGCCACAAATGAGGAAAGGAGTTGTTTTCCTTGTCAAATTCAACATGGATGACTTCAGAAAAACGGCTTTGAGTCGTTATTTATTTCCCACCCTCCTCCCTCCGTTATGTTAATTTTGTTCTGATGCGCTGTAAGAATAAAAAGAAGAAGAAGAAAAAAAAAACCCGACACAGTTGATGCTGTAACTCAGCCCTCTTTTCTCCTGCCATCCATTTCAGCTGTACAGATCATCTCCACGAGATACGCTCTGTGTCTGGCTCCTAATATGCTTCATGAGGTGTGTAATTCACTGTGCTCCGGAGGGGAGCCATTTGTCTCGAGGGTTAACTAAGTG